TAACCTTGCTCGACGCGACTTCTGGCGTGGTGGACAGGAAGGCGGGTGGGGAGGCGGTTATTGCTTGGAAGGAGAGTCCCCCTCCCTACAGGAAGCCACAACCACGTGTCACGGGAGGGAAAATAGCCGCGAATCCTGTTCGTCCCCGGATCTGGCGTTCGCGAACGGAGGCAAAATTTTGCGAACGGAGCTGTTCGTGACCCGAATTGGTCATGAACAGAAGCATTCATGACCCGAGGTACCACTGTATATTATTTACTTGGGTTGGACAAATTTGGATTCCATTAATGTGTATCTGTTTATTTTTCTGCAACAGATTAAAATTGTACTTGCGGTTGTTGGCATGAATGCATAAATACTGCTATGCCCTCCTCAAAGTAGCAGCATCTTAAATGTCTCCTAAATGTGGTAGGATTTAGTTACTTATCTTCTGTCTTTCAGTCTAAAGCAATATTTGAATCATGCTTAGCTAGGAATAAATGTGTAAGATTCTAGGTTTGGGCAGAAAGTCATATTTGGAATTGGCTCAGATGGGAGAAATACATGTGAGCTGTAGGATAGGATAATAGTTTTCCACGTCTCCAAAATATCTTGGTATTTTTGGTGTGTTCCCATACCTATTTCTGATTCTAAACTCTTGACTCTAGTCCATTTTCTATTAGTCTGTGCGATATGCGGCATTTCAGATTTAAAATATAAAAGAAGTTCTGTAAAGTTCTTTGAATTACAGAGATGAGCAGCTTGGGGGAAATTTTGGGGTAAGACTATCCCATGAACTGCAGTTAGACCACAAGTTGGCCTAATCTGTTTTGTTTCAAATTTCCTTTTCCTGTTTCAAGTTTCCTTTTGGAAACTAGTCCAAAGCCCCACCTTTCCTACTCTGTGCCCAGAGCAAGTCCAGGAACACTTCAAAAGTTGTAGTGTACTTCCAAAATACTGCTTAGCAGTTAGGTGGGCTCCTTCGTGAATCTTCAGTTGTGTATATAATTAATAGGCTGGAGAAAAAGTCTTTTTATGGTTTTTTATTATAATTTTATAATTTTATTACATTCAAGGCAACTTATGCATACAGACATACAAATGAATAAGTGTGTATGTGCACACTTATTCATACATGCAGAGAGAGAAAGATTAAAACGTAAACAAAACAGTTGCCATTTAAAGATCTAGCAGAAGGGCTTAGCTGCTCTTCTTAAAGAGGAGTGAGTGTCATGCACGGCTTCTGAGAGAAAGTACATTTCCCAGGTTGGGACCAATGCAGGAAAAGGCTGTCTTGGCCAGGCCAGATAAATAAGCTTTTGGAGTAGAGGAAACTTTGGAAGGCTTTGCCTGGAGATTAGTGCCCAAGCAGTTTCATTATGGAAGAGGTGATCCCTCTTATAATCAGATCCTAAGCTGTTTATGGCTTTAAAAGTTAATAACTTGGAAAACATTTGACTACGCAGCCCAAGTCTTCCAGCATAGGCAGTTATTTTTCAAAGCTTTAACACCAAGCCTCCCCAAAATTGGATTACACAGTTTGAAAATCCTTGACAAGCATTATTATTCAAGCTCTGCTTTAACTTTTAATTTGTGATGACTGCCCTATATTCTATGTTGCACCCTTTTTGTGTTTTCACGGTTTGTTTAGGTATTCCAGTATTTAATAGATGTAATTAGAAGCTGTGGAATTTAATTTATGAGCTATTAAACTGGTTTAGATTCACTGTTAGGTATCTTAATCAATTAGTGTTCTGTTTGTGCTGTTGTAAAATATGATTGAATTCTCTGGGGTTTTTTGAAAGTGAGAACAATCGTTGCTATATTGTACTAGAATGGTATTTTAATGCATGTATAAATATTTTTTCAGTTCTATATTTTTGTAAACTACTTTGAAAAAAAAGCCTTTAGAAAAGTATTGCATCACCTCTAAATAGCAATTATTTGGAAGCAGAAACGACCCTTTACCACAAAGGTGCTGCTCTGGGGGCTGCTTCATCTCTCTGAAAGGACGAGGAGTGGCCTTTGGAGCTTCTAGAAGTTGTTATTAGATTTTACTTTTTAATGTGATATAAAGGGAAATCATTAGCTATGTGAGGAGCAGTCACACTAAATGTATTCAGTTTGTTAAAAATAAAATATAATTAAACAAATTAGACTTTGGTTTGATCCTGGCTGTTTTTCAAGTGTGACTCCTGACACATCTCTAAAAGGCAAAGTTACTCTAGGAATAACAACAATGATGCACCATCACAAGAAATTCTGATAGTTCCAGGATCAAGGATTTTCAACTCGCATAATTATTTGAAACTAGACAACCCTGTGACCCATTGGGTCATCCTTTGAGAGAAAGGTGGTGCAGTCTGATGTGAC